GGGAAAATCACCGGTTTTGTGTGTTGACAGAAAACACAGGTCTTTGTGGGGATTGTTGAGAGGAATGGATGTGTATTTGTGTACTTTGCAAGACTTTCCATGGACACTTGAGACCACAGAGACCAGCAAACTCCATGAAGAATGGGTTTCTCTATACGTGCACACCTACGACAAAGTTAAATTTATAAATTAAGCACAGCCAGAGATAATAACTACTAGTAATTAAAGCAGTATACCAGAATGAAAGTTACTTTAAACTTACTAATAGTTTATGTCTGGAACATTCTATTAAATATTTTCTGTTCATGTTTATACAGTGGATATCTAAAACAGCAAAAAGGTGATCTTCAGAGAAGGGAGGATGTGATCCATACAGGTTTGTATTCTGGTTGGATTCTTGAATGTTTGTCATGTTTCCAAGGCTTGGTCACCAGCAGATGGCGCTACAGGGAGGTGGTGGAAATGTTAGGAAGGGAGACCTTGTGGGAGAAAGTAGGTCACTGGGAACATGCTTTGGAAGGGTGTGTCATCCTTGTGTTCCTGGATCCTTCCTCTGTTTGCATCCCGTCCCTCATCCCGTCCCTCATGAAATGAGAGGGCCCCTCCCACCGCATGCCCCTGTCTGCACTGTCTTCTGTCTCACCATAGTCCTGTAGGCCACAGAGCCAGTCTACCAGAGCTGAAGCCTCTGAACACAGGAGTCAAAACAAACCTATCAGCCATGAAGAGCTGACCAATAGCCTGTACCATGGCACATTGTAGATGCTCAGTAAATAGAAACACCCTCTCCTGGCTGCCCTTTGGTTCCAAACCTGCAGCCGTGCGAGTGAATGGGAGGGTAGATCTGGAGATTTCTAGCTCCACATTGCCATAAATGCAGTCACCTCAGACTTTGATCCCCTACTGGTGCGGTCCTTCTGCCACCAGCAACAGGGACCACTCCATTTAAAAATCCCTGACTGTATGCTTGCTATGACAAGTGTGCAGCCAATCACCTCAAAGCATACCCAGAGGCATGAGCCATGCATTTCCTCTGCTCTTGGATTTGTAGACTTGGAGTTGAGAGAGCCAGAGGGTTGGTTTGTTCCTGCTCTGTGGTTCAAGGTTTTCAGCAAGGAGACTTGACTCCATGCCAGTGCAGGACTGCAGCCCTCTTTGGGTGTGATCACTCTCATGTCTGGAAAGAGATGTTAACTGCCTGCAACCTGTATTCAGCTTTCTGGGGTATGGGGGCTCTTTCCAAGAGAAGGTGCCCAGGGGATGCTGTAGCCCTAAGCAAAACTCAGCCTTGGTGATCAGGCAGTGCACCCATCAACATATCCTGTTGTCTGAGTGAGCAGTGACAGAGGTTCACCCAGGCTAAAGCAGAGCCACAAGTACTGCTCTGTAGGGGGCATAGATATGTGTGGAGTGGCTGTCTCTGAAAAGCACACGTTCAACACTCTGTGCCAGGCTCTTAGATGAGCTCCCAGTCTTTAAAGTTACACAGGGTGGATGGCACAAGTATCTCCCTCCTGGAGATGGAAAGAACAAGGTTCCAGGTGACTTGTCTTGGGCAACTTAACTCAATGAGCCACAGCTACATTCATAAAAATGGGTAGAAATCCTCTACCTCAGAGTACCACTGTGAGCCTCGTACTTATTATCACAGAGTTTGTTGGAAGGATACACTTGGAAGTGTTTCATGGTTTCTGATTGTCTTAGTTAGGGTTTTATTGCTGTGAAGGGACACCATGACTATGGCAAATCTTATAAAGGAAAACATTTACCTGGGGTTGGCTTATAGTTTCAGAGGTTTAGTCCATGAGGGTAGACATGGCGCTGGAGAAGGAGTTGAGAGGTCTACGTCTTAATCCAGAGGCAACAGGAAGTGAACTGTCACACTGGGTGTCACTTGAGCATAGGAGACCTCAAAGCCAACTTCCACAGTGACACACTTCCTCCAACACGGCTGTACCTACTCCAACAAGGTCACACCTCCTAATTATACCACTCCCTATGGGGGTCATTTTCTTTCCAACATTTCACTACGCTGACATTCCAAGAACCATCAAACTTTCCAGGCATGGCACCATTCTCTCTCTCTACCTGTGGCCGCCTGTCACACATACTAACCCTAACCCTCCCCAACTCAGCTAGGATCTGAGATTTTCACTAACTTATCCTAGAGGGAGAGCGAGGCTTGCCCTTGCATTTGATTGTGGTTCAGCTGACAGCAGCAGGTACTGTCACTGATTTGTTCTATTTCCAAAAGGGGAAAAAAAATTGGGAAGCTCAACAGTGCTTATAAATCCCAACTGTGTAAACTTTCCTCATCCATCGTGTGAACTATTAACAGGCCCTTCGCTGACATTCATAAAGAACCATTTACTGCCCACATCTCTCTCCCAAAGGAGAAGTTTCTGAGTTATTTTGTAGGTTCCAGGAGAAAGATTTGGTCCTTGAAGGGACAATGGCCCATCATCGGAAAAATCTTCTCCTAAGGATCTATCTCATATTTATAATTCCCCCTCATTGTCGGTCTTCCTATCCCCTATACTTTAAGAGATCCCTGTCTGTAGGACTGAGCGGGTAAGAATTCTCACCTTCATAAGGACTGAGTTCAAATCCCCAGGGAGGAGGAGAGGGAGTGGGGGGAGTGGGAGGGTGTTGGGAGGAGGGGCTGAAATGGAAACTTTTATAATTTAATAAAAAAAAATCAAAAAAAAAATCCCCAGTCCCCATGTAAAAACCTGGGCATAGCTAGGTGCACACCTGTAAACCTAGCACCGTAAGCAGCAGGGACACGGGTTTGCTGGAAAATGCTGCCTATCCTCTTCGCTCTAGGCTCCGTGAAATTTCCTGTGTAAGGTGGCGTGAGATAGAGCAGAACATCCAGTGTCCCTACTTCAGACTCCATGCATTCACACATGTATGAATATATCACACATCACACACATACCAAACACATAACACACACACCATTTCCATAACACGCATATGCATTTCCCTCCACACATACATACCACATACATATGCATAAACCATACAGACACCCCCTAAATGCATTCACATACACACTAATACCTCTCCATTTGGTATGAGGCCCGTGAAACAGATGATTAGTTCTCTTGTTAGAGTCATTGAGAAGAGGGGGATGGGATGGTGCTCGCCACCAGAGTATCAAGAAACCCTGAGTGACAGCTTTCCTTCTGGGCCCCAGGTCACCTCATCATCATTAGGCAGCAGGCTTCTGTGAGAAGTGAGACCACTCACTGGGCAGGAATATCTCCGCTGCATACACTGCTCTGGGGCTGGGGACAGCAGAGGTGACCTCCAGAACTTCAGGTGGCTGGGAACATATCATCACAGGTATGAGATGTTGGAGCAGCCTCTTGGTGGGCAGGGATGGCTGGAATTTTCCACTGGGAGGGCTAGCTTCTAATTCATATCTGCACATCAAATAGAGAAACTTCTGACTAGCCATCAAGTCTGCAGGCCTCAGTCCTATGCAGATGCCTATCAGGGCACCACGATGTGTGTGTATGTGTGTGTGTGTGTGTGGCTTTTTCTTCTTGCTTTTTCAACTCTACTTTTTAAAAAAAAAATTTTTTTTTTCAAGGCAGAGTTTCTTTGTGTAGTCTTGGCTATTCTGAAACTAGCTCTATAGATCAGGCTGGCCTCGAACTCACAGAGACCCACCTACCTGCTTCTGCCTCCCTAGTGCTGGGATAAAGGACATGTGCCATCACTGTCTGGCTCTCAACTCTAGTCTTTATTTGTGAGGACCTGGGGTGCAGAAGCAGGTCTGCCCCCAGTACTGATGTTCTGTTGTCTTTTCAGTTGCAACAAGTGTCTGCCTATGAGACAAAGGCAATCTCTACGAGGTTCCCTGGACCTGGATAGTCGGCTGGAAGCAGCTGGGGGGCTCCCTACTCCCAGCCTCAGTGCCAGTGGTCCTTAAAAGGTGGGGTGTCCTCCCGTCTCTGGATTCCTTCATCTCTAACTGCACCACAATCCTGAACAAAGTTAAGTTTTCAAAACGTTAATGATAGAACTGAGAAAACGGAGGCCCAGAGAGGTGTGCTGACTTGTTCAACGTCACACAGGATGTCAGTGACAAAGACAGGGACGCTTCGGCTACTCTGGGTTGGATAGACCAGGGTTAGTGACAAGCCCAACCCCTCTACCTCCCTCCCCTGCACCACACAAGGAAGATCATTTCCTATTCCTGGACTCCCTGCGAGCCAGAGAGATGGAAGATGAAGTGTAGAAGAAATATTGCTGTATGTATAAGGATGGTCTTGGTGAGGAGGGCAATGGGTTTCGCTGCTTGACATCTGTTTCCCAGGAGACTCAGGGAAACGCAGGGGCAGAGTCCCCAGCAGCAGCTGAGGGCTTCAGGGCTCTGTACCTGCTCGTGGAGTTTTTGTCCCAGAGGCAAGCCTGTGTGCTCAGACCTGACCATGTTTGGGCATGGAGGCTCGACCCAGCCGGGACTGAAGACTGCTTCCCTGGAGACCAACTGGGAGACCAAACTTCCTGCTAAAGCCTGACTTGGGGTGGGGGCGGGGGACCGGGTGGAGAGAAACCATCTGCCAGTGGAGACCCAGGGAACTGTGAGTACTGCATCCCAGAGAGTTTACAAGGGCTTCTGGAAGCCGGGGCTGAGGGGCGATGGTGGGAGACAGAGGGCAGCCTGCAATGGCACGGATGGGAGGGTGGAAACCCCTACCTCCCCTGGTGCCCTTCTGAGTTCTGGCACCAGAGGACCTGGCATGTTGACTCAGTTCTGAGAGTCGCTTCGCTGGCCAGCTCGGGGACCAGGAGCAGTCTGGTCACTTGTCATCAGTAGAGGAATAACAATAAATAGGTCTGGCAAAGTGTCCCATGCTTTTTTGACTCCCCAGTTAATGACAACTACTGTTTATGAAGGGTTCCACTGTGGCAAATTTGTGACGCTCGACAGTATTGCTAGGTCTGCGCTGGGACTCTGAGGTGGGTACTATTTTTTTTTGTTTTTACAGTCACGTGGTTGCTAAGCAGCGAAGCCAGGACTTGATCTCATGTCTGATGACCTCAGACCCTCTCTTCTCTACACCCTCCCCAAATAAACTCTATTCCCGGTCCTTCTAAGGAAGAGGCTGTCACCCCAATAGTTAAGCCGCACAAGGATCTTCTATAACTCTTTTCCAATGTTCCTAAATCCAGCCCAGACCTAGGGTGGATTTTCTCCATAGAAAGTTCCATCCAAGGTGTCCCGAGACACACTTAGCATCTCACAGCTGGGACAGTCTCCCTACAGTCTAACTGAAATCCCTTCTATTATCACAGAAACACACTTCTTCCTGTCTAGGCCATGAGAGACATCAAAGGTCCGCATCCTCCTTCCTGTTGGAGAGTCTCATTACGCTTACAGAATCCCAGATCCCCACCTATGTTTTACATTTAATCAGAATCCATGGTTGAGCACAGGGGCTGGTGTTTCTTCTAGAACTCACTCCAGGAGGCTGGTGAGACATCAGGACATTGCCAGGTGGTGGGACTAGGGCAAGTTGGACCCCCCCCCCCAACAGGTGCTTCCCTTTTCTGCCCTTCTGAACTCCCACGCTCTAACCTTAATGCCCGGCAGTCTCAGAGGGCTCACTGGAAGAAGTCACCACGAGGAATCCCTCGTGTGACCAGTGTGCCCAGTTTCCCAGAGAGATAATTGGTGATAATGGGTTCTGAGTATTGAAAAAACTAATCACAGGCTGTTAGCAGACGGCCTGGGGCCAGGGTGGGGCCTGCACCACAGGGGTGCTGCCCTGTGGAAGTTGCCACGCTCCACGCAGAATAAGAGCGATGCTGGTGTCAGATCGCATCCCTCTCACCTGACCTTCCTCCTATTCTCATTTCTCTTTGCCTCCGTGGTGCCAAAAATGACTGCTGCCCCCAGTGGCTATGGGGAAGAAGCTGGTGATGGCCCAGAAGCGCGGAGAGACGCGAGCCCTCTGCCTGGGGGTGACAATGGTAGTGTGTGCTGCCATCACCTACTATATCCTGGGTACCACGGTGCTGCCTCTCTACCAGAAAAGGTAGGAGCCTCCCCACTGCCTGGAGAAACCCCAGCCTTTTCTACCTGCTCTACCCTTAACCCCTCTCAGCAAGCTGGACAGACGGGACAGTTCACATCCTTCAGGTTACAGATTCCAGTGCTGGAGAAGCAAACAAGTAAGAGCCTTGCTGGTCCAGGACCTGGTGGTGACAGCTACAGGATACAACCTACCAGTGAGAGTGTGCCACATGGGGGAGAATGGGCCTGGCAGACTGGCAGCGGTCTGCACACATGACTCCGAGATGGACTCCCTCTTTGCAGGGCACACCTCTACTTGCCTGGATTTTCCCAATAAGTAGGGAGTTTCTCTACTGAACTGACATCTGGTCCCCCAAACTCTAGGCAGGAATCTTGGAGAGTGCTCCATACCCTTGCACCCCACTCCCTGGCATGCCATCCCTCCAGCTTTTTAAAGAAGAGCCGTGAAGTCCCTGAGTGCTCTCTCAGTTCACCCTTGGCTGAGGAGGCTTCTGGGCATACTCTGGCTGCCGACAACCCTCTCCTGTCTGGCAGCGGGTCTCCCACAAGATACAGGCAGCTAAGTCACAATCCATTTGCTTAGGCGTTGAAGAGCCTATTGACCTCTCCTGGGCCTGCTGTGTATTCCTGCTTTACAATGTCACCGTCAGGCCAGGCCCGAGTGCCACCCGAATGAGGGGCTGCTGAGCAGGCCTGTGCCTCTCCAGCGCTGCGCTGCCACCCTCCAGCCCCGACTATACCAAGCCCCTCACACAGTTCCTTGTTTTCAAGGGGAAAGGGCAGAGCTACTCAGTCCTTGCCTCAGGTGATGTGTTTCCCCCGCAGAAGTCACCCTATCCCAGCTGAGGTTTTTATCTACACCTGCGACTTGGAGGTGATATGGGGAAGAGGGTCTCAGACTTGGCTGCTCTTCACAGTCCCGTGATGAGTATGTTAAACAACGCCAGAGGTCGGGCCCACGCTCCTGGGAAATTCTGCCTTGCTTTCTCTAGAATGGGATTCAGTCATGGGGATCTTTTTAAAATGTTCCTAGGCGTGGGGTAGGTAGCAAGGTCGGAGAACCATTATGTAGAAAAAAAAAAAATCCCAAGAGCTAACTCGTCTGAAATTGTGATTCACACCAGAATCCAGGACTCTGGGGCCATGAACCTAGATAGCATTACATGCTGGTGGCAGGATGAAGCTGTCAGCTGTGGGCCTTTCCATTGGGTATGTATCACCCTTGTTCTGAGGTGTGTGTGTTGTCTCCCCAGTGTGTGGACCCAAGAATCTACCTGTCACCTGATTGAAGCCAACGTCAAGGACCATGATGAGCTGGAGGGCAAGAAGGTGCCCCGGTACCCATGCCTTTGGGTCAATGTATCAGTTGTGGGCCAGTGGGCCATGTTGTACCACACTGAAGACACTCAGGACCAAAACCAACAGGTAATGAAAGGGGATTGTGTACTAGCCCTGACAGATCTGTGAGCTTGTCCCCAGCTGCCCATGTTTCTAAAGCCAAGATAACCCACCTGAATGGGGTCTTCTGGCTGGCATGAGAAGTCAGTCTTGGATCCTCAGGGTTGGAATCAGACAGATGTGGGTGGTTTGAATTTGTCCCTCATTGACAGTTGGGGGAAGGTCACTGAGGCCCTGTGGGTCCCAGTTTCCACCCTTGTAAAGCCATACCCAGAATTGCTGCACTAAAGTTCAGTGTAGTGTGCAAATGTGCAAATCCCCGTGTTGGCAAATGGAGGGCCCTCAGAGAGGAGAAGCGGTCATTAGAAGTCACTTCTTCCACCAACCGAGTCCAACAGTGGAGCCAGGTAAATCCCAGGACCGCCTTGGAGCCTGGACTACAGCAACTCCCATAACAAACATTTAAGAGAGTTTCCCTCAAACCTGTAGTCCCCATCACCACCACAACCCTCTCTACCGAACAGGCAAGTTGGTCCCCTTCCCTCCCTTTCTTTCTTTCACTTCCCTGTTCATTCAACAACCACTGAGCCTTCCCACACCAGGCTCGTGGGTCTCAAGAGGAGAAAGCATATGTAGGAATATTAATTGCATGTGTGTTGTGTGTGGATTTTGTGTGTGTGTGTGTGTGTGTGTGTGTGTGTGTGTGTGTGTGAGAGAGAGAGAGAGAGAGAGAGAGAGAGAGGTGGATGCCACAGACAGCAGCAGAGAGAAATGGGACTTAAGGAAGCGGGTGATATTTCCAGCTGGCAGTGAGGACCGGGACAGAGTAGTGATGGGTCAGACTTTTCAGAATAGGCAGTTGCTGGAGCGACAGAAACAGGGAGGAGGGAGGCCCAGCAATGGTGAGCCTAGCATAGGCATAGTGGAGAAGGCTAGGCAAAGGAAGTGATTGGAAGACTGATTCCAGAAATGCCACCTGATGGAGTGGGACATGTAGCCAGGAGTGGCTGAAAGGGACTAAAGTCTGTTTCCTGAGAACCTCTCCTGTATAACTATGAAATTAATATTAGCATATATTTGGGCATTTCAATTTTGATTATGTATGAGAACCATCTAGACTTAAAAGAAGTCAGGGTTCTACACCAGACCAGCTGAGACAGAACCCCTGAGTATAATCAGTCGGAGGAGCTCCCCAGATGATCTAAGGTTGGATGTTATTGCTATGAGCTACTTCAGGCCCAAGGTCACCGTTCAAGAGATCCTGGAAGGACAGCCAGCAGCCATGTAGGGTCAGCTACCAGCGCAGAAGCTAGAGGTGGCAGTGCATAGAGGTCAGACTTGTGGCCGTTGTTAGCATGACTGTGTGGGACAAGAACCTGGAGCCCCATCAGGATTAGCTTCTACCAATGGTTCCCGCAGTCTCTTTGGCATCTTTAGAAACTTTAATTTATTCCAGGAGTGAGAAAAACATTTTCAAACATGAGAAACTGTGGCTATGGCACCATTCTCCTGGCACACTGGATTAAGGCTGCCTCTTAATCCTGAGAGTGGCAGCCCAGAGCCAGAAGTTAGTCTAAACCCTGCTTGGATTGTGAACAGTGTGTATGACTTCTTTGCCAGCGATGAAAGGAGGGACTTGTTAAACCATAGCACCCACAAACCACAATAGAGAGTGAAGAGCAGCCTGCCATGCTGGGACAGTCAAGCACATTTCATTCTCGGGGCCAGCATCAGGATGTGTGCTGGCTGATGCTCCGGGTTGATAGCGTGCCTCTGGACATGTCAGGCGCTCTCTCGTTCCTCCTCCACAATCTGCTGTCTCCTTCCCTGAATCTCAGTCAAGGGGGAAGGGGCTCTTTGCAGTCCACGCTAACAAAAGTGAAGCCTCAGATGAGAGGCAGGGATGAATCCTTTCAGTTCATGGAGAGAACTCAGGGAAGGTTGTACCACGTCAGGCAGAATGGGGTAAAAGGTCCCAGGCCTTGCCTTGGCCTAGAGAGGGAACTGCTGTTGTGGGTCTTGACAAACACATCAAGAGTGTAGAACCTGGAGGAACTGCAAGCAGGCAAAAGATGCTGCAGTTACGCTAATTCATAGGTAAGGCAACATTATTATTATTATTATTATTATTATTATTATTATTATTATCATTATTATTATTATTCCACTTTTTGAATTTACAAGATGTGGACTCTTGCTAAGCGCTTTACATAAGTTTCCTAGTTTAATCCCCAGGGACGTTCTCAGCAGACACCACTAAAAATGACTTCACAAGGTTTAAGAGATTGTACCAGTTGCCAAGGTCACACAGCTCGGAAGCTGTGGTTGAACCTGGGCCTCTCTGTCTCTACAAAGAAATCTGTGCTCAATGGGCAAGATTAGCCAGTGACAGTCCTGCTACTAAACACCCTGCAGTGCCCAGCACCTCTGACAGCCAGATTTCCCGGAAGCTTTGGCTCTCCCTGGCTCAGGACTTGCGCCTGCTTGCAGCTCCCCTATCTGACATTAGCAACACACTAAAGCATCGTCATGTTGCTGGATCAGGTGCCCACAGAGCATGCAGCTTAGGAGGTAAGGGTCCTAGGGAAGATGCTAGCTCAACACTTGCCCCTTGGGCCTCAGGTTTACATATTTGACCTTGGATATGACTTTACTAGAACATGGCCCTCAAACTCTGTACTTCCTCTGAGCCTGTACCCCACAGGGTAGGAGCTTGTGCTGAAGGGCACCCCAGAGGTATTCTCCTGCAGGTCTGTAGAGATGTCCATCCTTGCAAAGTATCTCTTGAGGTTCACACAGGCGGCATCCAGTCCTTCTGGCACGGAAAGATAAAAGCCAGGTCTCCACGCTGGGCTGTCCCTGCAGCTGGGTCTCATCATCTCAACAGGCCAGAAGGTTCCTAATAGCAACCATCAGTGCCAGAGCTTCACTGTGTGCTGTGCTCTCCCTGCCTGGAGCTCTTTTTTGCGCTTTATCTCTTTCCTTTGGAGTCTGTCACAGAGCCACTTGCCAACATATTTTCTTTGGTTCACACAGGATTAGACTTCAAAGAGTCTTCTGCATGGATCTTAGCCAGGATGTTGAAATCCTGGGAGTTTGCAATAAAATGGGGTTTTCTGGCTTCTCTGGATGTGTTGGTGGATGTTGTGGTGTCTCTGGTCCACAGGAGTGATGACTTTCCTTCTGGGTGTAGCTTCCACCAGGCCTTGATTCTACCTGCCTAGCTTCACTTCTTGCTCACTTATAGAAACCCCTTGTCCCTGGACTTGTGTTAAGTCATGATTCTCTAGACCATCACGGTGACACTATTGATCCATCTCAGTAATGAAATCATAAAGGGTCAGAGAGGATGAGCAATTTGCCTATGATTTCACAGCAAACAGAACCAGAACTCCAATTGAGCCCTGCATCCAAGCATGCAGTATCATGCTGAGTGGCTCCAAAGACACCATCCACACACAGACACCAACCATACTCTACAGGGGCTGACTCCCAAGTCCAAGTTTTTTGGTTTGGCTTTTTTTCTTTCTCCTCGCCCTTAGCCTCTTCGAAGTGAGCATCTGAGAGCCTAAGCCTCCTTGCTTTCTCCCCACAGTGCTCCTATATCCCTAGCAACCTGGACAACTACCAGATGGCCCTGGCTGATGTGGAGAAGGTCAGAGCCAATTTCCACGAGCACCAGGCTTTCTACTGCTTCTCTGCACCTCAAGTGGAGACCAGCGTTGTGTATCGGCGCCTCTATGGGCCCCAAACCCTCCTCTTCTCCTTCTTCTGGCCCACCTTCCTGCTGACTGGCGGCCTCCTCATTATTGCCATGGTGAAACTCAACAGGTCCCTATCCATCTTGGCAGCTCAGAGGTAGACCAGTTCAGTCTGTGCCACGGCGCCGGAAGTCACCAGAGACAGCAGGGGTCATGGGCAGGGCTGCTCATCACTCTCTTCCTCTTGTCTCCTCTTTTGTTTGTTCAATGTCTTTGGGAAGTCTGACGCCATCGGAGGACAAAGGGACAGCCAGTTACAACTCTCCTCTCCCTGTTCTCAATTAGTTCATGTCTGCTTACCTGCTAGGTCACTATTCACTCCCCAGATGGTGAATGAGTTCACCTCTGTTCCTAAGTTCTCTCTTAGTTCAAACGCCTGCCCATCGCACCCAGAATGTTGTCCTTGGCCAAATTCAGCTTCTTTAAGTTGTCACCAAAACAAGAGCTCCCATTCACAGGGCAACTCGGTGTATTGCTTTTTGTCAAGGACATTAAGTCACACACAAATTATTCTAAAATTCAAAATGACTGCTGTCCTTTAATATCTACAGGGACTAGTTCTGGGACTCCCTCAGATGCCAAAATCCCCTTATATAACTTGGTGTGGGGTGTGTGTGTGTGTGTGTGTGTGTGTGTGTGTAACCTCTACACACCTTCCTTGTGCCTCACATCATCTCCGGATGACTTATAACACCCACACCAATGTTAATGCCGCAAATGGCTTTCATTCTCTATTGTTCAGGGAATAATGATGAGGAAGGGACATTCCATGTTCACTACAGATGCAGTTTCCCCCCAAATACTTTCAATTTGTAGTTGATTGAATCCAATGGGGCAGAACCCGCTGATACAGAGTCCGAGAATATTCATTCACACAACAACACAAGTCTGCGAGGAAATAAACACAAACACATCAAATATTAACTGCGGCGTGGTGGCTGATTTTAATTTTCTTCCTTACCTCCACCCATTTTTGTTATTTTCACTTTTGAATAATAGGAAGATCATATGCTGTTTTGTTGATTTTAATCAGAAGAGCAATACAGAACCGCTATTTTGGAGAATGCTGGATGGGGGCCACTCTTAGGGAGACGAGGGCAGGCTGGGAGGGGATGTTTCTCCTGTCAGAGTCGAGCTGAAAGACACAGTTTTAGGCTCCCTGGACAGAAGAAAGGCTATTATTAGTAGGAGGAGAATTTGCAGTCTATATAGCAGATGGTTTCAACATGCCCCCTATGAACACGGGTGCTGGGCATTTAACACATTTAATGTTAACGATACTTGAAGGTGATTAGGGCTAGAATGGGGTCCCCAAGATGGCACCATGGGCTTTAAAGGAACAGGAAGAGAGACCCGAGGTGCAGCATGTTGCTCCGTTGCCCCTTTGGGTGCTCTCACAACATAGGTGCCTGGTAGGCGGGTGAACAGCACCATTATGTCCTTGTATCCAATCCGATAATTCTGCCCGGGCTGCCCTGACACCCACTGTCACCCTCCAGTTTCTTAGCTGTGACCCTTCCTTTCAAGGACAAGCAGCTCTCATTACCCGGAGCACCTTGGTCTGGGGGTCAGCAACGTCTTGGGAGTCCTCAGGAAAGCCCATATTCGGATGTTGTGGTATAGTGGGGAGAGTCACGAATGGCTAGGAGGGATCTCTCCGTATTATTTCTCACAACGACATGTGAATCTATAATTACTCCCAAATTCAAATTCAATTCAAAGAGAGAATGCAAAGTCCCAACAAGGAGTCTGACTTTAAGGGGTTGCTTATGCAATTTCCCAGCAGAATCAGCAAGCAGGCATGCCTAGCTTCCCCTGTCCTGTGCATTAGTTATGATGACCTTTATTTCCTTGAGACTGACCCGCTTCCATCAAAAGCCACACCCATCTGCTCGCAGAACTGCATGGCCAGGGTGTGTGTGAAATAATGGATATTTGAGTGAGACAGAGTTAGATGAGGAGGAAGGATGGTCCTGGCAACAGTGGCTGGCCTAGAAACAGAAGGCCCTCACCGACCCTGAAGGAGTCACTACTAATGAGCATCAGGGGCTTCCTGTATTTTTGCATTGTTTCTCATGGGCATGACTCACACCTACAGAGGTGTGCCTGTTCCGTTCGTCAGGTGGCCCTTCTCCTAAATCAGACACCCCAAGGAGATCAGAGGCAATAGGACCCCTGAGCTTCTGATGTGAAGAATAAAGAATCTTTGTGAGGCACCCTAGGAGTGCCAGGCCTCAGACAACTTCAGCTCTCCCGCCAAGGCCATGACTAGAAGAAGTGGGTCTCTTCCATTTCTGAAGGCTCCCAAGGGAAAAGCTTCCTCTGCTTACTATAAGACTGGAAGGCAGGGAGGACGGAGAGATGAGTCTGATACATCCTTGCCATCAAAGAGCTGTCTTTCTTCTTGTTCCACCCCCAGCCCCATCACCACCATTATTAAGGGCGGTAAGGAACCTGAATTGAGTACATTTAAAATCGTGTAACGTAGAAATCGTAACTTGTGTGATTTGGGGAAACAATTCCTGTTTCCCTCTAGACCTACAAGCTTCAGCCCCAGTTTCTTCTGCTGCTAACCCCTTGGGTCAGCCAGCTGCAGACAGGTGGCCGCTTAGACTGTCCAGTGCCCTTTCATTTCCTCTTGTCCTTGGAGGGATTTGAAGTCTATGAAACATTTGGGAAGACGCTGCTTGAGTAGGTGAGGCTGTCCAGCTCCTTACCAGCTGAGGTCCCTTCACAGGCAGGAGGAAGAGAGGCAGCAAATGCTTGCTGGAGGCACGGGCATGGAGATCCCCTCTAGAGTGCAGGGCAGCGGTTCTTAAACACCCAGAGACACACGGGGCCACAACCCTTTGGTAAGGATACTGAGACAAAGATTACATCGTTTCTTACTTGTTCTCCTAAAGACAAGTGGTAAGAAATTCCAGATCAAGACAGTGAGATATACCTATCCCCACTGATCAAATATAGCACTTTGATTTGAGTCCAGATGCTTGGTTAATTAGATATTAAAGATATCTTCAAAAAAATATACAAGTGTGAGAGATGGCTCAGTAGTTAAGGGCATGTGTTTCCCTTGCAGAGGACTGGGGTTTGTTTCCAAATACCCACATCAAGAAGCTTACATCTGCCTGTAACTCCAGTTCTGGAGGGATCTAGCACCTCTGGGTTCCAGGGGCACCTGAACCCATATGTACTTGCCTATGCCTACACTCACTCACACACACACACACACACACACACACACACACACACACACACACACCACACAATTAAAAGCAAAAATAAATCTTCTAAATGTAAAACTATGAGATTTCTCTTGATAAAGTTTTGTAAGATAAAATTATTTTTCATCAAATGTTTTTGTAACATGCATAGATTTATTATTATTTTTAAATGAAAAAATTGAAAAGGAATATTTTATAGTTCCCAGTTTCACTTTGTAAGACGGCGACTACTAATAACTATAACAAGTCCGCACTAGCATTCCTTGGATCTCTCAATAGTTTCCAAAAGTGTAGTAGGTCCTGAGCACAGGCAGGTTTAGGGGACTGGGTTAGTGCATCTAGAGACAAGAATGATGTCTCTCCCCACCCATGGGGATGTAAAGTTGTCCTCTGTACATGGCTTCAGTTTCCCACAGAGGCATAGAGGGAGGTTTTAGTTCTCTGGATTGCCTGTGTCTCCGTTCATGACACTACAGAAGGGTCAATGGCTGGATTATCTCCTTACCAACAAGCAATTTCCTGGATCATTTATTTGTATATGAGAGTTAATGCATGTAATGTAAAATTCAGGGTCTTCCTGGGTTACCCAACTCTCCATCCTCCCTACTGGTATAAAATACATCGTCATCAGCCAGCTTCCCTAAAGGGTTGGGAGATGGGGAGGGGAATTTTGGAGGAGCAGCGAACTCCAGACTGAATGAGAATCAAGTGTGTGATATATCCCCAGGCTTGTTCCTTCTCCCAAGCTGCAGTCAAAGGAGGATTACCGGGACTTTTATTCCCTATAATCCTCATCATTCCACACAGCCCACACTCCTGACACGACCCACGTGGAATAAAATCAGAGGCTCACGAAACACACGTGTCCTCAAAATGGGTCTTCTTCTCCTATGCACTGTAAAGGGCAATCTTGAGTGAGCGCACCGGCAACCTGTGGAGTCTCTTGCTAACTCTGTGTAGCATCAAAATTGCCTTACACCGCAGGAAGCTCCCATAGTGTCAGAACTGGTTGGTGTCGGAGGAGAAATAACTCTCCCATCTTCTGTCGGCAGCATCGCCGGGGAGAAAGCCCTCACATTTCCACATTTCTCTTCAGTGACAGCCTACATCAACACTTTTGATGAATAACTCACTGGACCAAGCTGCCGCCCTTCCATCCTGGGATATATTTAGCTAACCACTCCCCCAGGAGGCAATCTATCATCCCTAATAGTAATAAGAACTAACATTTGTGGAGCACCTGTGTGCCGGGGATGGAGGGCCTAGCCTTTCCACATATGCCTCATTTAACGCTAACAGGACCTTTCAGGTTAATATTGGCATCTCCATTTCACAGATGGGATAACTGAGGCATGAGGAAGACATTTATTAACTGGCCCTAGAAGTTAGCAAGTAGAAGAGTTGAGATAAAAAAATAAACTAGGCAGTGTAGCTTTACTATGGCTGTAACTACCGAGAGCCTGGTTCTTCCATCTCTTGGCTCACCAAGTGTGCCAAGGCCGGATGCTGAGAGCCTGTGTGCTGTCTCCATGGCGCCCCCACAGAGCCCAGGCTCTCTTAGCTCCCCTACCCTAGTCTTCTAAAGAGGAAATAATTGAGAAGATTTCTTAAGTATGAACACTTGAAAGGTGGGTGCTGCCAAGAAGAACTGGGGCTGCCTACAGTCTACCAGAAGCCACAGTTTCTGGCCCATAACCCATTTGGCCACTTGACACCCAGGCATTCTCCCATCTCCTGAATGCTTGCATTGCTGGCCACTATTACAAAGCAGAACGGAGGGGCAGCATCTGATGGGACTTCCTCCGTGATCCCGCGCTTCTCTCAGCGGCCCTTCCTTCCTTTAGTCAGTGTTCACAAACCGCAGACTTAATAATCATCTCTAGAATTTCCCCAGCCGTCGACAGCATCATCATTTATGCTTATCTTTATCATTAATAAAAATTTGACTGGGAGACATCTTCTCGGCATCCAGCTAAATTTTTTGCGAATATGCCAGCCATGGTCCTTCAGGCTCTTGCATTGCTTTTCCAACCCTTGAACGTGCATTTTCTGTCACCAGGAAAAACACAAGTGGGGAACAGTCAGGATCCTCGATGAAGCTCCTGGCATCGTCCGAGGTTTGCAGCCACGCTGGCCCACTCCAGTCCGCTCTTGGATCTCATTTCTTGTGTGGGAATTGGGAACACATCCAAACAGAACTGGGTCTTGGGTGCCCTGCTCTCAGGTCATTGCACCAAGAAGGTGCAGACAGCACTTACTTTCTCCCTACCGGACATCTCTTCAAGGGATGGTTCTTCCTACAATTCCAGCGCCAAGCGCCAGCTCGCTGTGACATTACTTGTAGGGCCCCAGCTATATTTTTGTGTTTATCTCTGGTGATAGAGCTTGTAAGAAAGAAAATTTAGGAAACCAGGAGTTCAAATCGGCTTGTCTATGGTCTTGGGCAGTTCATTTCACTTCCGCGAGGCTCAGTTTTCTCAACTGGGAACGGAGAGACACTTTATTCGTTCTGTAGCATGCTTAGGGTGACTGAGTGCAAATACTCAGCAGAGTCCCCAGTGAACTGAAGATGCCCTACACATGCCTGCTCCTTCCCAGCAAGCCAGCCTCCCCACTCCAACCACACAGATTCTTTTCTGTTGAGCACTCTGAGGACGCTCTATTGCCATGCCTTGTCTCACTGGCTACTTTACAGCTTCC